AAACCTGTTAAGATGGCTGCAGCCTTTTTACAGTGTGCATGAATATATATTTTCCTCCAATCTTAATTTAGTTTCAGAGTTTTCGTCTTGAAATAAATAAATAAGAAAAATATCATCACCGTGGGGAGGGGGGCAATGATAACTTCCTCAATGGCTCAAGGGGGCGTTTCTTTCAAAAGGGTTAAGAACCACTGCAGTAGAGGACACAAGGGGCTCCAGCAGTAAGAGGCAATCAGTGGAAGGCTTTCATCATTGCTTTCCACCAACAGGGACATTCCAAATAGAATTCCACTTTGTTGTTCCTGCCAACAGTAGCAAAATTGGGAACCAAGCCCTTTGCACTCTACTTTCCCCTATCAAAATGTATGCAACTGAGACTTAGTATTTTCCTGATCATGTACTGATAATTTAAGAGCTCTTATACAGATATAGCATTCACAGTAAATCTGTTTTCTAATTAAGTATTTGCATCCAAGAATCACACTTAATAGAAGAAAAACCTAACGATATACACCACCACAAAACTTCAGCTCATGGATAGCAACAGCATTGGAAAGCCTTACTAATCAGCTATGTATTATGTCATGGCAAATTACCTATGCAAACTGCTGTAAACAAAGTATCTGTGTGGAAAAATAATTGCGAGGTTGGCTTCCCAAATCAAGATATTAGACTAGACAACATGAATATTGTTCATAGCAGATTTTACCTGATAGGATCCTCACAGGCACCGAATGGTAACTTTCCAAATTCTAGGCCTCCAACTTCTCCTCCAACTAAAGCATCAATATCTATAAATAAAACATATATTTATGCATCACAACAACATGAAAGAAGAACATTATTCATCATCAACGAAGACCTGGCAATCAAAACAAACTTGGAAGTTGATATGGCCACCATATATAGTCTTAGCATCCATGTTACAAGTGGAATAGATTCAAAAAATTTCCATCACATAAATTTTCAACAGAACTTCATAATCAAACACATTGTTTTATGTAAATTATTTATGAATCAGTAATGTAACCGAGAACAGGTCAGAATGGACAGAATGCAGACTACATGTGCCTTCATCCCTGAGTTGCTGAAATTTGGCACTGCAGCAGCAGCAGCATCCCCTTCAAAACAATGAGTGCAGGGAGTATGCACTGAATTTTAAAAACGAGTTGCCCCTTTGAAAACCTCTCAGAAGTTTTAAAAATGAACCATGCACCCCAATGTGCCTTGCTTTAGAGGGGGAACTGCTTGCTTTCACTGCCACAGCAACAACAGATTTGGGCCAGTGGATTCAGGACAGGTCAATGGAACCCAACCCCAGAGATTGCCCCTTTCCATACCAGATGTTTGTAAGAAAACAGCATAAGCTTGGGAAAGCTTAGAAACTCATCCGTAGGTCCAGTGCCACAGTTCCACACAGCCCTGACCACAGTTGAGCAAGCTGGAATTCACATAATAAAGGTCTCTACATGCTTCACTGAAAAAAAAACTCACAGCAGCCAATGTCTACTTGTGACACACAAGAATCTGCCATGTGCAAACTAATCCTACTTCTTGGCAAAAATACACTGAAATTAAGCCATTATTTGGTTTAACATAATCAAGAAAAATCAGTAAAGCTGTCTGGCAGAGATAACCTGCAATTACATTGCTGTAGAATGGTAGAGGCAGGTCCAGAAAACAGCAAGCAATTTAAGAATACTGTTGTGGTACTGAAAGGCATTATTATAAAGTTTGGCTTTATTACATTTAGAACTATTGGAAAACTCTTCTCAATTTCAGAATCAATTTCTTACATAACAGGGATGGTCACTGCTGTGTAAGGAAAATGTTTTTATTTTTGCATCCCCTCTTTTTTGGGGGGAGGCATCTAGGTCACTTCTGGTTTAAGTTCCACAGAATTCCATTATATATTTAAAAAAACAGCATCCTACCTGGTGGTTGTTGAGGCCAGAAATACTGCTGCCAGTCCTGAAGTACATATGTAAGTCTAATGCTTATATTAATTGGAGGTAATGGGGTTAATGGGCAGCCCTAGAATACATAAGAAATACATTAAAAGTTAGAAAAAATTATTTACATTTTTGCTCCAGCTTATGTAGCAGAAGTATCTGTGAAGAATACCTTTTCAATGTTGCTATACTTTAACTCATCAAATAAAATTCCAGAAAGTTTAGTCATAGTTGTCTTTCTCATCCGCCTGCAAGTCAAACTAAACTGTTTATTACTAAAGTGAGCTAGCTCTAATAAATCCACACAATCAAAAGCTGATCTATTGATGGCAACTGGAATCTCAAGAACCTCTGGTTTCACAATGTCTGCTAGCAGAAGGCTTGTACTATAAATAGACAACTTCACAGCAACCTACTTCTGCAGCTTACCTGAAGTACTTTACAGATATGGAGGAAAGGAAATAAAAGCCCCAGATGGGCCCACAAGTATCCCCTTAGACTCCTCAGGGGCACTGGTTCAGAATAGTAAAAATAACTGGCCAATTAGGACTGGATACAAGTATATTTATGTGCACTTGAGGTCTGGTCCCTGAGTGAATTAACTCCACTGAACAGTATCTTATTTGAAATGACATCAAATCGTATCTAGCAATAAGGAAATACTTATTGTACTGTTGGTTAAGGTAAAGGTTCCCCTTGACATTTTAGTCAGTCGTGTTCGACTCTAGGGGGCGGTGCTCATCCCCGTTTCTAAGCCGTAGAGCCAGCGCTTGTCCAAAGACAGTTTCTGTTGTCACGTGCCCAGTGCGGCTATTCACGGAACACTGTTTACCTTCCCACCAAGGTGGTACCTATTTATCTACTCGCATTTACATGCTTTTGAACTACTAGGTTGGCAAGGAGCTGGGACATAGCGACGGGAGCTCACTCCGTCGCGTGGATTCGATCTTACGACTGCTGGTCTTCTGACCCTGCAGCACACAAAGGCTTCTGCGTTTTAGCCCACAGCGTCACCATGCCCCCTACTGTCGGTTAAACAAAGGTCTAATCTATTCGCAAAGGCTTTCACGGCCGGGATCTAATGGTTGTTGTGGGTTTTTCGGGCTCTTTGGCCATGTTCTGAAGTTTGTTCTTCTTACCGTTTCGCCAGTCTCTGTGGCCGGCATCTTCAGAGGACAGCACTCTGTGCTCTGGTGAGTGCTGTCCTCTGAAGTGCTGTCCTCGTTCATGTAACTTTACTCTGATGTTTTATTATATGGAAGACAATGTAACTCTTAGTTGTACTATACCTATTTGAAACAAAGATCTTTAAAACATATCAGAAAAAAATCACAAAGAGTTTTCACACACCACCAACATGCAAAATGTAAAATAGTACCAAGCACTGCTGCCTATGAAATAAGCAGAAATAGTAGAACATATAAACAAATCATACAGCACACATTTTCAGCAAGTCATCTACAGAAAGTATTTTTTAAAATCTTAAGGTTATATTCTGTTCAGATGACATAACTGAAATTTTTCAGTAGCCGCAACAGCAATATATGAACTTGCTCAAATCATACTAATGATAGGTCCGCACATACTAGCAGGCTCTACACATATACCTTCCTTTGGCCTGTATAACATATAGATATAAAAGTTACAATCACTCACTGCTGTGGAAAAAATATTCTTGGCATGCATTCACATAGTTATACTTACAATTTTTGACTTGAAGATGTCCAACAGTCCTGATACATGAGTATACTGGCTTGGTACTTTGCGAAGATGGACCATTTCAAAATCTGTCCTGACTCCAGGACCCTGACACTCTCCAACATACATTCTTCGCCATTTGTGATGTATTTGCACAAAAACTGGCACCTGGCTACAAAACATTCACAAGGCTTACAAAGTGTTTTAGGTAATTAACGATATAGGAAACAGACACATAATTTGCCAGGTCATCCTAAAACTGTTCACCAAGAACCCAGATTGTGGTTGTGATTTATTATGTCAGAACAAACAAAGATGCTGAATGATACAACAACAACCATAAAGAATGCACAGACTGAAATCATGTTGCTTAGCGTATTAAGTTATAACTAGAGTAAGCTTACTGAATCAGTGAGGACTGGGTGAGTCAGTTCTTCCATAAGTTCTACTGATTCAGTGTGGGCCTATGATAGTTGCAACTTACTACACTAAGCAACAGTACTTCGATTACAGACAGATATGGGCATGAACGAATCTCGATTTGGAGGTTTGTGCCAGCTCATACACCATAGGTGCCACACATTCCCTTCTCCCACATACCCAGCTGGATCCCCCACTCACCAGCCAGCACACACTCCTCTCCTCCTCTTTGGCTTTTCAACAAGTCCCCAGCAGAAGTATGGGCTTCCCTGTACCATTTCCTTGGCTGACTGTCCATTTAGACAAGGAGGCAGGACAGGAAAGTCTGTGCTCCTGCTAGGGACTGGTTAAACAACTAAAGAGGAGCAGAGGCACACACTCTGACTGGTGAGTGGGGCATTGTCTGGGGAGGCAGTGGGCACCACAGATGCCATGTGTACACAAAGCAACGTGAACCTCCAAACTGAAGTTCATGCTCATCTCTAGCTACAGATTTTAATGTGCAACTACCACCATGCATCTACTTTGCTAGATATAAATACAGTGCTGAACTGACAACTGGTCATACTTATTAGAATAGCCCAATGGACTAAGATTCAATTATGCACTTTGGTATCTAATGCCAGTGGAATGGGGAATTTTTTATCCTTCTTTCCAACTCTACTGTAGTCCCTCATTGTGTCAAAGGGACTTCAAGCTCTCCAGAGCAGGTTTTGGGGTGCATGAGGGGCTGCAAGAGACATGGGGATCACCAGTTCTTAAAGACAAGTACATCACTGAATTCTGGCCCCTAAAATGAAATTAAAAAATAATAATGATTACAGTATATATTTCACTAATTTCAACCTATGAGAGCGGTTCTTAAGTCAAAATGTTCTTAACTCGAGTCGTTCTTAAGTCAAGACCCCACTGTATATATTTCACTAATTTCAGTTGGTCTACTTTAAGTACAACTGTCTAGATCCAGCCTACTGTGTATGTGTGCTGGAAAGCTATGGTTAGTTGTGACTTTCCAGAACATACATTCATTCTAAAGATCGCATGAACTACACCAGTTATCTAGATGTCATTTTCACATTCTCTCAGCAATTTATGGGAAGAAAACATAATTAAGTAAAACACTGTGATTCAACAACCCAAAAGAAAATCAAAATTGTCAACTCTGTGATGATGATGATGATGATGATGATGATGATGATGATGATGATGATAATAATAATAATAATAATAATAATAATAATAATAATAATAATAATAATAATAATAATAATAATAATAATAATAATAATAATAATAATAATAATAATAATAATAATAATAATAATAATAATAATAATAATAATAATAATAATAATAATAATAATAATAATAATAATAATAATAATAATAATAATAATAATAATAATAATAATAATAATAATAATAATAATAATAATAATAATAATAATAATAATAATAATAATAATAATAATAATAATAATAATAATAATAATAATAATAATAATAATAGCATGCTATCAAGTCAGTTATCTAGGTAGAAAATACACAGAAGTGGTTTATCATTTCCTTCTTCTATAGACATCTCGGTACTGTGCAGCTTGCCCATGACTTCATAGGAGGCAAAGTGGGAATCAACTCCCAACCTCTGGCTTAACCACTGAGCTATCCAGCCACTGAATTCTGTTATACCATACTGAAAAGGCCTGTTATCATGGTGAAAGGGCAGGGGAACTTGTTTTATGTACTAGTCTAAAAGATTTTTTGTTCCTGGCTAAGACTATAACCTACTGTCATGACAGTGGGATTCATCTGTGTTACTATGCAAAAATATACATAACTGGAAAGCCTGGAAAGCACTAAGACCCAGGGGAAGTTATCAGCTGATGCCTTACAGATTATCAGCCAATCAAGTTCATTTAGGGAACCTTAGGTTTTCAACAAAAGCTTCCTTTCACTCTCTTGGTTGGCTCCCTCTTTTCAGCCATGTAGCACAGCTGATCCCAATACAATAAAGGATGAGAAACAACTAGATGGCTATGGGTAGAATCAGAGTATAATGAGTTGATTTGTGTCAGGGATTATGATTCTGCTTAGTTGTGTCAGTTACGCAAAAACACCTACAGGTGTTTTCTGGTTTCTGGCACCAATTCTTTAATTTTTTAACTTCTGCGCTAAAATTTCAAACATGTTACAAGAAACAAGAAAACACATGTAGGCATTTTTGCTGCATAACAACAAGGATAAAGCCACTGGCATGACACTTATACATTTAAGAGACACAATATATGGGAAAGAAACCAAACACATATCTTTCCAGTTTTCCATTTTTTTTTTCATTTTTATCCAGAAGACAACAGTTACATAATATCTGAAACAACACGTTCTCATTCTTTCTCTTCCCCTACCACTACACACAGAGAGTGCAGACATCAATAATACATTTTCCCACCAAGAACTAGGTATACTGAACAGCCAAATATATCAATGACTGAATAACTTCACTTACCAGCCTGTGTTCCCCAATGCAATAGAAACCGAACTCAGAAGGAGATTACATTTGGATTCACTAAGAACTGCATCATTATTTGCTGCTGGTGCAATAACTACAAATTCACGTAAACCATACCTAAAACAAAAGCAGTAATATTTTCAATTATATATTATACAAATGGAAGCCTAAAATATACCATCTCCCCTGTTCAATTATTACTTGAACAAGAGATACCTGGTACTTCTCAAACTGTTTGCTCTTCCACTATAAATATGTCTCAAAGCTCAATTTCAATACATACATACATACATACATACATACATACATACATACATACATACATACATACATACATACATACATACATACACACACACACACACATTTGCAGGTCTAATCCATAATACAGTAATATACAACCAATAATAAAATTATATATAATTTATTATGTGGATTAGATTTATTATTATGGATTAGATCTGCAAACAGACGGAACTCTTCTGTATACAGAGGGTAATGGGATCCAGCAGAGGCTCCCAGTTAGAGGGAGGAAACAGGAGAAGGATTTTTACGAATTCTTGTTTCCCCTACAACCCCTAAACCTCTCTTCTGACAGGTGCAGCTTTTCAGTACACCGAGGGTGTTGCAGGGGAATGAAAGATTCAGGAAAAAAAAATCACCATTTGGAGTGCTAGCAGCAGTCCACTGAGTGGAAGTCTGGATCCCATCCTATATTTATTCAAGAAAATACAACTGTTCTTTGACAGCCAAATTAGATGAATAATCTAAAAGGTTCAGCATTTTCAGAGGCTCATCATTAAGTACAATATTCATTTTCATAAGCACATAACATTCTTCGTATACAATGATAAACTAGGGATCACTTTTAGATGAACGAATCTGTCCAAGCCTCATATTAATGCACTGCCCCCCTCCTTTCCAACATAGATGCAAGGAGATTGATAGCTTTTGTTTTTGTCTTCAGCTCACCACAGTTTAGTACTGTATCAGGATCCAGTTAGCAAGGATTTATTGAAACAAGCAACATTCAAAATATGGCTTGTGAAACTGCTTGAAATCCTGTTCACATAAGCTGATGAATTTTTTCTAATTAAAGATTTTCCTCCTCCACTTCTACAGCTTCCCAAAGATAAAAGGAATTACATCGAGCAGGGGGGCTGGACTTCACTATTCTATGATTCTATGATACACTTGATGCTGTAACAATAAAGTATGTATGTATGTATGATTCTATGATACATGAGAGTCTTGGGAGCCTTGGGACAGAGTAGGAAATGTTTAATTTCTAAAAAAAATTGCCACTCCTGATGACATCATGAGCCTTGCACACTATAATTTGTGTTTGTGTTTTGGCATCGTAATGTAGTGTTTTTATGATTTAGAACTGTTTATTTACATTGTTTACTGTATTATTTTTAAGGTTGTTAGCCGCCTAGAGTGGTCCTCGCTTGACCAGATAGGCGGGATATAAATAAAATAAATAAATAAATAAATATAATTGCACAAAAAGGATTTCAGCGAAATTTCCAAATCGCAGTTTGTTGTCTCCTTACCCATTATTAATTCTACTCATTATCTGTCCAGGCTGTGAAATAATGCTAAATTTGGGGTAAGTGAACATTTCTGTTATTTTCTTGACCTCACCGCAGGAGAAGCGAACAAACTAAAGGCTGCCCAACCCTGGTCACACAACAGTCAAACAATGTTACTGGTCTAGTGATAATTCTTTAGGCACTCTATGTTATTGATCACAGGTCAGAAATATCTAGATGCTGCAATTACAGATCAACTATAAGAAACAAAACATTGTATTTTAGATTATAGACATACCATCTCACTAGACAATGTGCTCTGGGAGGAAAATCATTGTTCATACACAGAAGATCTTGCATAGCAACTGGAAGAGCATCTGTAAAATCATTCAGAAAAATGAAAACTTCACATTTTCACCTTTGGAATAAGCAGGATATATTTATATATAATACAGAGAAGTGGATAAAAGTTTATGGTTCTTCTTTTTAAAAAATCAAGTTGGATCTAGATTTAGCTGCATGTAACAGGATTGGAAGAAGTGTCCTACCTGGCAAGGCTGGTGTGCAAGGACCAAAGTACACAGCTAAGGGGTTTTAAGCTCAAAGGTGTGAGTAATTGGAAATTTAGGGTCAGAAGCTTGCCCATAGTTGTCCACCCACACATTTACTAAATCTCACCCAGTCTATATTGCAAAAGTGGTGGATAGTGGGAACTACAGTTGGCTCCTTCCCCTAGTGGAATGACCTCTCTAAGGAGACGTGTTCCTGACAGAGGTGGATAAAAGTTTATAGTCCTTTTTGAAAAAATCACGTTGGATTTAGCTGCATGCGACAGGACTGGAAGAAGTGGACATCCATACCCTCCTCCATCCCAGTGCAATACCTGACACTCTTCTGAAAACACTACAGCATTAGTGAGGGCTTCTGGGAGTTTTAATCCAAGAACCTCTGGGGGTCAAGAACCACCAAGTTGACACTGCACTACAGAGAAGGCTGGGGAATCTTGCTGTATTTAGTAAGGCAATGGAACGGGGGGAAAAGGAGATCTTCAGAAATAGAGAAGAGGTCACTTCTGTCTATGGAAGGCACAACATAGAACAAAAAATTATATTGTTTTAACTATAAATATTAAACAATCTGAATAATCCAAACATATGTTTGTTAACTATACAGTTAATGAACATGATTACACCTGTATAACAGAACCATAATTTAGCATTATGTGCTTGATCTTCAAGATCATGTACTCTCCAACCTTTATACTTTTTTGCAATAAGATCAGATGCATTTGTTTCTATTTTCAAGTTGTTGCAATTTCTGGTTATGATCAAACTGAGAAAAATTATTTACTTTACCTATAGTTTATCCATACAAGCCAGATGGCTAGTGTGGACAAATCATAGGTAACCTTAATTCATTTATCCCCTTATTAACATATCAACAAATCACAAAGTTGAAAGAGGTATGGGATCTGCAACAGGTACAAAATGCACTGACCAGGCTGGTCTCAGGTACACTGAGATATGATCATATTTCCTCAGTTCTGGTCCACTTGTATGGGTTTCCTGCATACTTCCATGCCAAGTTCAAGGTACTAATGTTGACATACAAGGCCCTTAATGGTTTGGGTCCTTGTTACCTGTTGGGCAACTCTCCCTGAGATTGTCTACCCGTGCCACCCACTCCACCCAAGTTATGATGTTGCTAGCCACCACCCTGAGGGAGGCCTGGAAATTGACAACTAGGAACCAGGCCTTCTCAGTGGTACATGTTAACATTACAGAATGCCCTGCCAGCAAAGGTGTGCAAGGACACTTCCCTCCTGGCATTTAGAACATGAGCCAAAATATTTATTTTCAGAGTAGTTTTCAAGCTATCCTCCCCACATGAAAGCTTATTATGTTTTAATTTTCTTTCTGACTGCTGTCACCAGGGAATGTTTTTCTCTTTGATGAGAGGTTAGTCGTGGGGAGGGCTAGGGTGCTTTTACATTTTTGTTCTATGTATGTAAGCTTCCAAGAATACTGGCACACTGCAAGTGGGGCAAGATAAAAGTTAATTAATTACCATCTATTAATTAATTAAATACCACCAATTTGTCTACATCTCTGAAAGAAAAAAAGAGCACACAAACTCGAGACTCGTACAAATTAACACTAAACTATACTTTAGATTAATCAGTAAACTGATTCAATAACTCTAACTACACTAGTTAAAGAAGGATTTTCTCTAAAAATTAAGAACCAATTAGATAATGTATCCTACAAATACTTATTTGCTGAAACTTTTCCAGTGATGTCCAGATGTTGCTTTTTTGAGCTTTTAGTCATGAGAAATTCATTTTTGTTTGCTCTTTTGTTTGGAGGAGTGGCTAGTTGAAAACAAAGGAAAAAGAGATACATCATTCAGTATTTTGAAGTAGATGTATGTTCTATGTTCCCATGCTTAACATCAAACCACCATAGGTGCTATCATAGCTGCTGTATCAGAATATTTTAAGGAAGTACACACTAAGATTTTAAAAAGCCACACGTTAAAGGCTTAATAGAGTAAGGATTATACAATATATTATATTCTACAATTAGTAAAATTCAAGTTAACTTATATCAATGATTTCCCTCTGTATGGTGCAATATACTCTACTAACAGAAAATTAACATGGCTTACTGATCAGATTTGCAGTACTTTAGTAAATATACCAGTGCAAGTCTACAGCTAGTTATTTTCCAACACATATACAACTGACCTATATAGGCAAAGTAGTAACTGACCCATTATAACAGTACCAAGTCACTCGGTATCATTAAACTGGCCAGTTAAGCTTCTTAAGGGATACTATACAAAGAAACATTTAGAAAGCAGTTGTGAAGGCTTTCTTATACTAAGGCTTAATGAAGACTAAAATTGTGGTTGTTGATTTAATCGTAAATACAAAAACTGATGCCACTGGTGTTTATATCTGTATATGTAACAGATATTATTGATGTCAAAATTAAATAATGATGCAATACAGCTGAAAAGTTATAGGAAGAGAACATATCCCAATCATTTACTCTAGTACTCTGTATTTATTTATTTAATTTATTTATCTCTGAACCATTTCAGCAGAAATTTTAATCTTTTTTATTTTCATGTTTTAATCTTTTAATTGTATTTTAAATCATATATTGTTTAATTTATCTTTTAATATTTAACTTATTGTATTTTTAAACTGTGTGAATTTTAATGTTGTGAGTCGCTTTGGGTTCCTTGTTGAACCCAATGTGAAATATAAATAAAAAAACAAATAAACAAACAAATAAGAACATATTCTATGAACTGAAGTATACAGATTTAAACAATTAGGAAAAATAACTGGACATTTTTATTGTATTAACATGTATCATTAAAGCAATATGTTGAAGTCATTTGCTAGATTCCAATCTCCTACACTGCCTCTGTTAAGGGTTTACACTAGTCAAATGGAATATAATTTATTTATTTATTTCTTATTTTTGAACAGCTGGTTACCATGAAATATCAAACCACCAATTTCAAAAGCCATTTGTCACACGATATGAAACAGGTGGTTGTTGTACAGGAAACCCATCTAAATTCTGCAAATCTAATTCAGTGCTTCTAGAAATACTAGCCATTGTGCACAGCTCTCTCAAAACACCAGATGAATGCAATTGAGCCAACAGAAGGCAAAGGCAAATTATAAAGAAAGAAATGGACATAATATACACAACAATGCATCTACTTATGCAGTTTTGTAAAGATCACATTTTTCATAATTTTAATAAGTTTTCAATTCTGGCAGGTAACCATCTGATTTGGCAATTATGCTGCTAATCTCTTGGCAAACATTCAGCTAAGGCTAGGGCTATGTGACAGATTGTATCTCCCTGTAGGAGTCCCCAAAATATAATAAAATCCCCAGGGCAGTGCCTTTTCTTGTTTTCACCACCTTCACAACCATGTCTGTTGATGACTTTAGCCAGGGCCTTTTCTATGGCTGCTCCTATATTATGGAACTCCTTTCTTGAGAGGTATAGCTCACCCTTTCCTTCCTTTCCTTCTGCCGGCAGCTGAGAAATTACCTCTTTAGACAGGGGTGGGCAATTAATTTCTATAGGGGGGGCCACATGAAAAATCTGAACTGTGTTCGGGGGCCAAACCAACTTTACTTAAAAATAAAAAGAAACAGTGATGTTATGATTGTTTTTATTTTAAACTTGTTAATCTTCACAAATATTAAAGAGGTTTTTTGCAGTATGTTACAGATAAGCAACTGATCAACTTTAGACAAAAAGCTATAAATGGTTTTGATGTTCAAAACTGTCCACCGGTTGGACAGGAGCGCCTCGCGGGCCGTATGTGGCCCTTGGGCTGCACTTTGCCCAGGTCTATCTTTAGAGAAGCTTTTAGATTCACCAGGCAACTGAGATAGAGTTTAAAAGAGTTCTCTATCTCAGTTGCCTGGTGAATCTAAAAGCTTCTCTAATCTGATTTATTTATTTTTACATAATGCTTTTAAATATTTGTATACTATGGCTTTAAATTATAATTGTTTTGTCTTGGTTAAATGATTATTTAAAATGTATGTAAGCTGCCTTGGGTTCCCACTAGTGGAAAAAAGGCAGGATAACAGTAACATAAATAAACTTTCAATTGGCAAGTGTAAATAAATATGATGAAAAAATGTATTTGTCAAATTAAATAAAAAAGCTGGAATAAAATCCTTCTGCAATCAATTTAGTTGTGTGTGTGTACATATATCCATATCTATATACCTTCCATTTCAAATACGCTAAAACAGGAATATTACAGCAACCCAACCCTACCTATGTTTACTCAAGAGTTCTACCATTCAGAATAAACATGCATAAGGCTGCAACTGTACATGCACTTTCCAATTTTGGCAACACCAAGTTCAAAGCAAAGACTTCAGCACTAACAGGAAATTACTACGGCACTATGCGATTCAGTGCATGCATAACGATATTCTTTAGTATTCCTCACATCTGTTTGCACTTACGTTTCTGCCACATCATCATTATGTCATATAACATAGAAGTAACATTCAAGAAGTGGAATATTATTTCACTACACATATAAGCTTGCATAACAGGAACCAGCCACTATTCAAATAATCAATTGGTGTCGTCTCTATATTACTAGAATCCTCTTCTTTATTATATATTCAAAAGGAAAAGAGATCCCAGAAACATTTTATATAACATATTCCACTCTTATCTATGCTCATGAACTGAGAAAGAGAACTCAATGCCTACATTCTAATTCCATTAACCTATAATGTCAGTTTAAAAACTAGGTCATATGGGATCAGTGGTATGTAAGAGTAGTTCTGTAACAAAGGAAGTAACGATACATAATTCACTACTGAATATCACAGTGCTCCCAGGAAAGGAGTAATAATTTCTTTTACAACTGTATATTCTAACAGCAAAACAGAAATGCTATCAACACAGAAGCTATCAACTTGAAATTAGTTGGGCATTAGGCAGGGTATTTACCTTCTCCCTGTTCCTCCTTTGCATCCTTGCCATTAGAGTCTTCCACAAGATAATGATGTGTCACTGAGAATCGGAAATCAGCAAAAGCAATCTCATCTGATTTCTCCTCCCATGTTCCAGTGGTAAATATACTCTGCAAATTGAATAGATGGATACATTGATTGTGAATTGGAAAGATAAACTAATATCTAATTTAATGAACATGAACAGCTGCAATATAATTCCACTGTTACTGCTCCAAAGTATTTTATAGAAGTTTCATATAGGGCAAGATCTAACAAAGATCGCGGGAACCTTCAGTCCTTAGCTGCTGATCTATACTGTTCCTATCTTAGCCATCCCCTGGACAAGCTCCCTAAGTTTGGCAGAAACTGAAACTCCATAACATGAGGAAGAATGCACATTCCTTAAGCTTCATCTAACAGAACAATAGATCTTGAATTTCTACCACTTGCTATGCCCTCAAAGCAAGGCTTTGATTCCTTAACCTGTTTATTCCTTAACCTGTTGGTTAGTTCACTTACTCAATTTAGCCTGAATTTTCATTTACTGGTTCACCTTGCTTTTTCCTAAGTTTGGTTAAAGGGAACCATTTGCAGTGGTCTCTTAAATAGTTTAGAAACAGATATTACCTTTTCCAAAGATTTGCCTGATGAAACACCAATAAGTTTCCAGTCATTCAAAACTTCCTCAACTCTGGAAATAAACCTAATGAAAATAAATTATGTTTCAGAATTACCACAATGCAATGCCCCACATAACAATTCTAGACAGAATTTTTCAATTTGTAACAGCTTATACCACCTGAAACATGTTGGAATTACTGCACAATCTTTAAAGGTATCCCTAAACAAAGCACATTACAGTAATCTAATCTACAAATCACCAAACCATGAATTATAATTAAACACTTGCTAGATGGTACCAACATGAATTTGACCAAACTCCAGGAGGCAGTGGAAGACAGGAGGTATGCTTTGGTCCATGGGGTCACGAAGAGTTGGACACGACTTAACGACTAAACACCAAAAATGGTAGAACAAACAGCCACACTAATTACTAATACATAATAAACCAGCATTCTTTAAACAATGCTAGAACCAGAGGTACTCAAAAACTCTAATATAGAACACACTTTCATTAGAAGCAGATATTTCCCAAGGAAACAATAGTTGCCTGTTTTATTTGTAGCTTATTTATTTTGTAGCTTATTTATTTTGTTACATTTATATCCCTTCTTTCCTCCAATGAACCCAAGGTACTGTGTTTCCCCGAAAATAAGACAGGGTCTTATATTAAATTTTGCTGCAAAAAACACAGTAGGGCTTAATTTCAGGCAATGTTTTCATTTTTTTCATGTACAATAATCTGTATTTATTCAAATACAGTCATGTCATCATCTGTCTACTAAAATGATCTGCTCTAATGGCTAATATATTTTGATGCATATCGGAGGACTGGTGTTCTTGCTGATGCCTTGGCCAATATGTGGAAGATGGAGACAGCCCAGCTATGTTACATGACTGTATTTAATTGTCCTCATCCTCTCTGCATAGCCCATGCAGCATCTCAGTATACATCACAGCTGACGACAATGAAGCAACTGGGACAATGTCTAGCATGTACAGGAAAGAAAACTCTTAAGAAATAAGCCCCAGTAGACATACTGGAACCTACTCCTAAATATACATGCATATCTCAAGGACATATATTGTTTTCTAAGCACTGAAGTAATGACAGTGGTCATTATGGGACTAGGCATATGACTGACACCTTGCAAAATGCTGAAAACTACCTGCAGGACAGCTGTTCTGCATGCAGTAAACCAAACAAAAATATTTAATATGCAACAAAATAAAAACGCATGTTACACATGCAAAAAGTGACTGACACAACAATCTCTTTGAAAATTATTACCTAATGAAGTATTTAAAATGGTACACAAAACATGTCATACCTTAAAAGTAAATTATAACATAGCTGTCCCTAGATAAGTTTGTGGCTATATACCTTCAAGTCATAACTGATTTACAATAACCCTAATAGGGTTTTCACTGGCAAGTGAGGTATTTAAGGAGTGGTTTTAGCACTTCCACCCTCTAATGAGTTTTCATGGCAGACTTGGGCAATTCCCCCTCAATCAGATTTCCAGCAAAGCATTCCCCCTCAGAATGGCTTCACAGTTGACATATATAGGAATGCAGGAAGCAGATTTACACTTTGCCAGACGATTGCTCCATCCAGCCCAGGACTGTCAACTCTGACTGACAGTGGCTCTCCAACTTTTCAGCCAGAATTCTTTCCTATTCTTACCTGAAAATGTTGGAGACTAAATCTGAAACTGTTTAAATCCAAAACATGTGTCTTACAACTACCTATGCCCTCTCCCTATTACGCCCAGCTTCCTCCCCCCCCCCCAAATTTTATACATTGGAGGACAGGTCTTCTGTTTTCACCTGTGTATTCTTATTCAATCATTCATTTCATGAAAAACAATTTGTGACATAACTAACCAGCTAGGAGAACTTATTTTCCCCTCTTTCTGTCAAGAAAACCTTTTCACTATTTTTAGCCAACCAGGTTTAACCTTACTTGAGGAGCAAGGGGCAGGCAAAACCTTACCAGTAATAAGTAAGTCGAGGAAACATGAAGCAGTGCAGCTGACACAATCTTTACGTTAAGCCAACTGCCTTTTTTTAAAGCCCCATCTTCCCATTTCTTAAAAAGCTCTTTTACAAAGGGAAGAAGCAGCTGCTTTTACCACAACCATTTTCTCTTCATTTTTTTTCATGCTTTGCTTTTGCCTCTGTTTGGTTTGGTTTCTCACAGATGTGCCTCTAAATAAAAGGGGGGGCGAGGGCTGCCGTACCCCTCCTGCCAGCCTTGTCCCCAGTAATTCTCCAAACGCTGCCCGCAGCCCCAAGCAAAGAGTTTTGGCGGGCCAGACGTGTGGCGCAGGAAGGGGATGCCCCTTCCGTTTCCCTCCGCACACCTTCTTCAACCTAGCTAGGAAAAGATGGGCAGGTGCCCAGGAGAAGGCGATTCGAAGTACTGTACAAACGTATGGGAAAAGGAAAGAAAGCGGCCGCTCCGAGACAGAAGCAATGCCTACCTTTCCCACTCGGAGGCGGTGGTGAAGTCTGTGATTTCAAACACTTCGGACTCGGGCTGTGGGAAAAGAAAGCGGAAGGGAGGCAATGAGGCACTAAGCCGTCAAAGGAGTGGGGAGGGGCCGAGCTCCCCTGATAGGCATGACTGCCTTTGCCGAGCCCGGGTGGTGGTGGTGGTGGTGGAAATGTCAAAATCTGGGCTCACCTCACTGTCGGCAGCCATCTTGAGCAGCCCCCCGGCCGGCACGACGGCGCAGCTTCCCGAAAGGGATTGTGGGAATGACGCGCGCGGAGGGGGGGAGCGGGGGGCGGTGCCTTCGTGTTGTGGGAGGGAGGGAAGCCGTAAAGAGCGGCGGCGTCTAATCTACCTAGTTGGCATCCGCTCCCCGGCCTCTCTGGCCAAAGAGGCTGCCGTGGCGGATAAAAGCCTGCGAGGGTTTCAAGGCGCCGCCTTTGGCCGGGTTTTGCTGTCCTTCCGAAGAACCCACAACACCCATTAGATCCCGGCCGTGAAAGCCTTCGTGAATACAAGTCTTTCAATATTTCCAGTTGGTGGTGTGTAAACAGAAAAAGATAATTTAGCCCTCTGCAAGTATTCCTTCTTTTCGGAGATGGGGGTGGGTGAGAGGACCTTTTTTTCTGTGCTAGATTGTCTTAATGAACCTTGGTTCGGCCTTCAATCCAAAGAGAGACGACAGCCAAGAAATCAGAAGACTGGAACCCAGAAGGGCAGCAATGAATGAATTAGAAATGATAATCAAGTATAAGGATGTCGTCACTGGAGACCAAGACCAAGATCATCCGCACTTGTACCGTAATTCCAGTCACCATGTATGGAGTGTGAAATCTGGGCCGTTAAGAAAGCTGACAGGGAAAGAATTGATCTGTTTGAAATGCGGTACTGGAGGGGAGCTTTGTGGATACCCTAGACTGCCAGAAACACAAACAAAGGAGTCCTAGGTCAAGTCACACCTGAACAAAGATGGTGGAACTGAGGCTGTCCTACTTTGGGCACATCCTGAGAAGGCAAGCTTCCCTTGAAAAGATAATAATGCTGGGAAAAGGTTGAAGGCAGCAGGAAAACAGGAAGACCAAATATGAGATGGATTGATTCCCTAAAGAAAGCCACAGGCTTGAATCTACAAGAGCTGAGCAGGGCAGCCGAGGACAGGAGATTTTGGAGAGCGCTAATTCATGGAGTTGCCATGACCCAGAGGTGACTTGAGGGCACATAACAACAACAAATTTGTGAAGATAGTTTTAGCATCCAGTGGGATTCAGGAAGTATGAGAAGGAAATGTTAGCACAAGTGCGTGGTTTGGCATAGAAATGGCAGAAACCAGACATATTTTCACCCTATACCCATTTCTTTATACACATGTTTAGGTATATGTTAGTTACTTTCCGTACCAACTGAGGGTATCAGATGAAGTGGGCTCAAGGGTTGAAAAGTGTATGCCATAATAAATCCATTAGCTGGTGAAATGCTAAAAAACCATTTTTTTAAAAATCCATCAATTTCAAACATTCACTCAGGCAGCTGATGACCACAGGAAGCATTTTTATGTGTGAATACAGAATGTAAGCACCACTGCATACTATCAGTAGTTGAGATTAATCCAGATGTTGAACTGGAGAGAGCTTTCTTGTGCCAAAGTCTTTAGTGAAGACCAGTTTTGGTTCTAGGGAAGGAGATTCAGAACAGAGTACATCATAATGGTAGAGATCTCTTCATTTGTGTCAGAAGCACCATATTATAAGAAATACAGACAACATCAGGAGTGTGTAACTAACATCAGGTCTTCCATGGTACTGTATCTTCTGAAGAGCATATGGGTGGAGTTGCCTATTTTCCACACTCACAGAGACCTACTGTATGTCTATATAAAAACCTCATTTTCTTAAGTTCACTTTGGTTCTGCCAATTTCACTGTGTAGCCTAGAGGTGTGCATTTACTTCTTTTGGGGATTTCTTGCTTGCTGAGGTATAGTTGAGATGGAACAGAAGAACATGGCTCCAAGACTTGTTTCAGACCCATGTCATTTAACATCATCTGGAGGAGTACCAGGGAAACATCAGGACCATTCTTGGTCTCGCAAGTGAATGTGGTGACCAAAATGGCTTCCAGGTTTTCTTATTGGTTATCATAAAGTCAAATAAAGAATGATTAATCAGAAGCCTGTGGGCACCGCTCCTCCTCCTTTACAGGGGTCACTTTATCATTTTATATACCTGTAGTAGCAGTTCTTTGTCACATTGTTTGTTAAAGGTCTCATTTCACCTCAATGAAGTTTTGTTAAATCTCACATTTCAGAAATTTAAAGCTGTCAGACATAAGTAAACTGAGTTAGCTCAGTGAAACATTCTTTTAAAAAAAACCCTAAGCAGAACAATGCAGTCATGATGGTCCCCATAAACTAGGTATTAAACAATGTAGTATGTAATGTTATGCCATGTAAAATTATTAACAAAATTATGTTTTTCATAACACATGATCTTCCTGTTCTACATATCTTGTATTTAGCATGATTTTGTTTTCTGATCAGTCGTAAACAATGGATTTAATTGTAGGTCTGATTGCTGATAACACCTGTGTCTAAGGAAGTCCTGTTGTGGGAGAAAAGCAAGTTAAGTGCACTGAATAGATAGTCTCTTCAATGTTTGACTTAACCTTGAGCATGCTACATTACTACCAACTCTAGCATTAACACTTCGCACTGTGTCACAGTGGCTGAAATCCTTTTGCTTAGCATAGTAATTTGCACTAGTATAGATCCATTGAATCAGTGGGGATTTGGTGAGTCAGCTCCTCTGTAGGTTCCATTGATACAAATGTGCCTACTGTAGTTGTACCTTAAAGAAAGTTGCAACTGGAGTGGGCCCATTTTAAAACCAAGCTATGTGGGCTGCATGGTTTGCCTTGTACCTTCAGACCTTGCTGCCCTAAGTAAAAACTGAACTGCCAGTCCAGTCAGTGTCCATACATGGAGTGGAAGATGTCCCACCATGTGTTTCACCTCCTATAGTAAAATGTCCTGGGTTATCCCTAGACCTCTAAGTGCACATTTGCATGCCTGAATGCTACATAGAAAATAAAATTTTCTACATAAAACAACCCCCCCCCTTTTTTTAAAAAAATGGTAATGTTTGAAAGCAGCCTGGGCAGGAACTCTTTCTCATGGCATATTGGTTTCTATGTGGAAACAAACTGGGGCAAGGGTGAAAGGTGGCAGAGCATTCTGTTAAGTCCCTGAACTCTGAAGAACAAGTTGCAGATTTATTTCCTTAGTACACATGTCTATGACCAAAAACCTAAACTTACATTATATACCAGTTGGGGCAGGTTTAATCTCTCAGTTTAAAGCAGTTATTTTCCTTTTGTAATACAGTATGTGGAGAATCAGCCTCTACTTCACAGAAAAAACAAATAGTCTTGTGTCACTTTAAGAATAACAGCTATATTAAGGCATAAACTTTTGTGAAGTGCAACCCCAGTATGGTCTATAAAAGTTTATGCCATAATGAATTCTCTAGCCTTTAAGTTCTTCAAGCCTTTGCTACCTTTTTGGAAACAACTCGCAAGGTTGCTGAAGGATAGCATGTTTTTGAAATGGCTAATATCTGTGATTTACTTTGGCTCCAGTCCTTATGGTAAACCGTAGTTCCTGTTTTAAAGTCATATGAGATGGCCTTCATTTGTTTTCTCAGCTAGGCCAGTCTCCTCGATTGGTAATTCACTGTACAAAATACCCAAAGGACAGTTGTCTTGGTGACAGCCTGTAAACGAAAGAGGCTGAATGCTATGCTTGTCACAAGGGGTTATTGGGGGGGCGGGTTTTAAAAGGAAGCAAAGTAGTGGAGTCTGCAGCCGATTTCACAACAGCTACTATGGGTTTTTTTCATTGCTCAGATCAATGCTGTGGGCAGAATCAGAATTTCTAGGTAAGAAATCTTTATATACTTGCATGAGAATACATTTAAGAGAGGAGTTGCTGTGAAACTCCATGTGCATATTTAACCACGACTGTGCCTAACTACTAGAATTGTGTATTTTCAATTCTTCCTTTGTGCTGGTGACTGAACTGGATTACAGACTGTGCAAAAATTATCAGCCTTGACTACTAGAAAGTAGAGCTTGGCAGATTCCCCCTTTTTTGGACTGTACCAATCCAATAAGGAGACTTTTCAAGTTCTAGTCTAGTTACAGGTGTTTTGTTTGGTGACAAAAGACTTGTAAGCAATTAGACAAGGTACCAGTTTTAGCTTTAAATATAGAACCTTTCAGTCTTGAGAGCCTGGGATCTTGGTTCCATGTTGAAGGCTACAATTTTAAGTGGCACAGTTCTCTAGACAAACTTCAGAAAGTAACCTCTGGGCAAGTTACACTGAAGATAGATGTATGGTGTTCTCTTACCAACAGGTAATAGCTAATTGTAGAACATTTTATACTACAGTAATTTAAGACTATAAACAATGTGTTTGTTGAACTCTGTACAGAAGTTAAGAACAGGGAGAAATGGAGACATTAAAGATGTAATGTGCCAGATCTCGCATCATCGGCTGAATTGTTGTAGACCTTTGCAGGGAGAACTCCACAGTTTATTGCAGTAGTCTTATCTCGTTAACAGAGACATTGATGCCCTTTGGTAGAAGGCTGCCCAACTTTTCATCTAATGGAGTTGGCAGCATATGGAAACTGGTCTTTTGGAATTATTGACCACTAGAATCTTCAGTGGAGGGAAAGCTGTATTTTAGACTGGCATATCTGGAAGCGAAAATGTAGGTGTACATACAGAATGACAGAATTGTAGAGTTAGTAAAATAGACCAATAATCATCTACTCAAATCCACTGCCAGTGCAGGAATTTACAGATAAAGCACCACCACCTTTCAAGGTAATCAGTTTCCCTTCAAGCATTTATAGCCATCAAAAAAATTCTTAATTTTAAATTGAAATCTCTTTCCTTTAACTTGGATCCATTAATTTGGATCCCACCTGTTGGAGCCACAAATTTCCTTAATTTTCATGCAAAACCTCTCATGAGATCTGAAACTGGCTAGTATCTCACCTCTCAGCCTCATCTTCTCTAGATTTAGCATGATCAGGTCTGTCAACCGTTCTTCATAGGGTTTGGTTTTCAGACTCTTTAACCTCCCACAAGAGGCCAGGCAGGACTCATCTTTGCTGTTCTTCCATAAGCAGGTGAAGAACTTCCTCTTCAGGCAAGCTTTCTACCAGTGACTGGGTGCCTGAGTGGGATTGTTAAGTAGATTGTTGCGCCTTACTGCTTTTAATGTGTTTCTGGTGTTGTTTTGCTCACTGTGTTGTAATGTGGTATTTGACCTTTTCTAGTATTTGTATACTTACTGTTTTGAGGTTTAAATGTTGTCTTTTAATTATTTAAGCCACCCTTTTAAGGATAATGGTGGAGTAAAACTATTTTAAATAAATAATGAATAAATCTTGTTTGCTGCCCTTTAGACATGAGCTAGCTTGCCAGTATGCTTCTTAGCTGTGGTGCTCATAACTGAAAGTAACACTCTAGCTCACTGGTTCTTAACCTTGTTACTCAGATGTTTTTGGACTGCAACTCCCAGAAGCCTTCACCATCAGTTCTGCTGGCTGGGGTTTCTGGGAGTTGCAGTTCAAAAACACCAGAGTAACAAAGATTAGGAGGGACGTGGTGGCGCTGCGGGCTAAACCGCAGAAGCCTGTGCTGCAGGGTCAGAAGACCAGCAGTCGTAAGATCAAATCCACGCGATGGAGTGAGCTCCCGTCGCTTGTCCCAGCTCCCGCAAACCTAGCAGTTCGAAAGCATGTAAATCCGAGTAGATAAATAGGGACCACCTCGGTGGGAAGGTAACAGCATTCCGTGTCTAAGTCGCACTGGCCATGTGACTACGGAAGATTGTCTTTGGACAAAACGCTGGCTCTATGGCTTGGAAACGGGGATGAGCACCGCCCCCTAGAGACGAACATGACTGGACAAAATTTGTCAAGGGGAACCTTTACATTTACTAACAAAGGTTAAGACCCACTACACTAGCTGACATCAGAATGTAGTGGTACTATTATTTCTCTTGATACTGCCAGAATTTCATAAGCTATTTTTGCTGCTGCATCACACTATTGATTCATGTTCCACATAAAATCTGCTAAGATCCTTTCCACAGGTACTGCTAATTGGTGATTTATTACCAATTAGCAATTCTCCATATAGCAATCCTACCTACTTTTCTCTCTTTGTTTCTTGGAAGCAGACCTTGGAAGTAATTTATTACTTGTTTTTTTATTTATAACAATACTAAACCTTCATTAAACATTAATATGATACCCATAACTTGTTAATTTGAAAACTCACAAGTTTTATAGCCATTATTTTAAGAATTATAACAACAATGTTAATGGACTGAGCAATAATTATTATTTCATATTACTATTTTAGTAATATGAATTGATTTTTTAAATATTAAAGTTATAATTTTCATCAAAACAATCAGCATTAATGAAATGACCTTTGTTTTAATGTTAATGCATTGTGAGTGCTAATGTTGGACAACTTTGAGAAGCAGCAACGTGCAGAAGGAAGCACAGTCACATCTGGGAGTATCAAGCCTGTAAAGTGTAAACCACAGAACAGACAAAGAGGAAAGACATCAGGGAGCCAAACTTTCTGTCTCCAGCTCATTTGCCATCTCAAGGCATATCGTAATTTGGGAAAGCAGGATTGCACATTTCCAATCTTCCTACATTAGGAAGGGAATACGTACTACTGGCTACAACTGCAACTTGTGCTTCTTTAAGTATCCCAAGGAGGTAAAGGCGAGGGCCTAATCTCCTTTGTAATTGATATAAAAAACCCTCCAAAGTTACATGTCCTCCCATCAGCTGTAACTTCTGTACTGGAAAACAGGCTGATGTCCTGAAATGAACTGTGTTAGATAGCACTTCACAGTTGTACTAGTGAGGAAATTTAAAAAAAAATATTTTTTTGCAGTATTGAAATCTAGTAGTAAGTAACAATTAGCGTAGGCTAATACAGTTGTACTAGTGAGGAAATTTAAAAAATTTTTTTTGCAGTACAGTATACTGGCTGAAATCTAGTAGTAAGTAACAATTAGAGTAGGCCCATGTGAATCAATTGAATGTACATGGATGGTGACTCAACAAATCCCAACTGATTAAGTGGGCCTACTCTAGCTGTGACTTACTATTACTAGATTCTCAGCCACTGTTTCCTATTACAGTTTATGTGTGGAAATTCATAGTCTGTGTAACCACCCACAGTTTGTAACCTCCTTTTATATAATCCTATTATTAAATACCCTTGCAGGCCATTGGCTTTGCTTTCAAATGGGGAGGATACAGCATTCTGTGTAACCATAGTCATTAGAAAGCTCTTTGTGTCACTGATCACTGGATGTGGGGAAAACGCCTGCCATCTGTAAACAGAGTGTGAATGATTCCCTAGGCTGAGTTCATTCAATTAACAGCCAGATGACTCCATAAGCTCCTGTAAGTAACAAAGACTTTGCTTCTGTGTTTTTATTTGCACTTAAAACATGTAAGTTAATTGAATGCCTGACTGAAAGAAACGCTTCAGATTTTCCTTTTTTTTCCTTAAGAGATTTCTCACACTATCAAGGGAAGTTTCAGCAGAAAAGAAAGAACATTTAGCCTGTCTGATTTCCTCTCATTAAAGAAGTGTCTTAGGAAGGTAATACAAAGAATCCAGCAAATGGAGCAGAGATGGGGAGTGGGGCAACGGCTTGTTCAGTGTAACACAGCGGCTCTTCACTTTTTTTTAATCACAGACTATATTCTGCCACCGCTTACCACCAAGACTTAGCTCAAAATTTTAAACCGTAAAGTGCATCAAATATTTATTTGAGGTTTCTCATGAAGGGTCGACAGATATTCTTTGCTATAACGGCACCACATTTTAAGATGACTGGAAGAAACTTCATTTTGCTTTGAGAAGGATGCACTCTCATCAACAGCATCCGTTTTTTTACACTTCACATTCAGCCAGCAATCCATTCTATTGTCCACTGTATTGTCACAAAATTCACTATGATAATACAGTATTAAAAAGTGACTTTACCTGACAGTAACCAAACGGTTTTATTAGCAAAAATTGAAGAAGTAACACAATCATAAACTTCATCCAGGCATTCATACTGACACTGACTGACTCCAACTCTCTCTTCCTGCGGCTTCTGACTATTTGCGCAGTAACAAGAAAAGTCATATGCTGTCTCTTAACCGCTCAACATCATTTACTTGCATGTTCTCACTGTGTGCACAAATACTGAACAGTTATTTGCTACCAAACAGTTATTTTCATAACTGATTTTTACTTTTGTTTGTTTTTAATGGAAGTGCCAGAAAAGTCACATTTTACACAAACGAGAAATTAAGATTTTGTTCTTTCTTTCTTTCTTTCTTTCTTTCTTTCTTTCTTTCTTTCTTTCTTTCTTTCTTTCTTTCTTTCTTTCTGTTTTAACTGCAAAAGATCATACCATTTCTTCAAGGCTTTGTGGACCCCCTGTGAGGACATCACAGCCCCTCAGGGGTCTGCGGACCACAACTTAAGAACCTATGGTATAATGCGTAAGGCCAGGGACGACCATAACCTATAGAGAACTACTGTCTGCCATCGCAAAACTCACCAGCAAAGAGATTCAAATCTACAAATCTTATCCTCTTCATACTTGGTATTTCAAGTTCAAAATTTAATTCACATGCTACAATTTCAACAAAATACTGTTGAATTTAAAACTATTGTTACAGATAGGTGTGCCCTTTACTGCAACTTTCCCTCCCAACACAGAGCATTCTGCATTCACTGAACATACTCAGCTTTCCTCGGCTGTTGGGTCCTGTTTGTATGTTGTCTAACCTATGGTGTAGAAATGCTAGGACACACAGGGCCAAAGCCATGGCACTTTCTGGCTGAAATCCTGTTTGTATAACTATCACCATGCCATGTCATCAGCGAGAGCAGTTTTTTCAGAAATTAAACACTTCCTCTTTCTGTTCTGTGGCTGCTATGTAATTCTTTTATTGTTTGAAAGCTGTGGGCGCAACTGGAAGGGAGGAGGAAGTCTTTGATAATCAAAAATCACTGCCACTAAAATAAAACGTCTTCAACCACTATCAGGAGAAAGGCAGCCTATAAATAAAATTAAATAAATAAATAAACCCCTTGTTTTAAGGTTTATCAATACTGGTATGAAGCAATGGAAGGCAATGCAATAAACTCATCTCGATGTTCTTAGAGCAGACTTCAGTACTTATTTATCTTCTGAGTTTTTTACTTCTTCTTTTTTAGTAAAGCTGCTGAAACACATTTACTGGACATTTAGGATCTAATGCGGGGGGAACAAACTGATGAGAAATGTTGATCCATTAAGCAAATATTGTTTTTTTAAAGATTATCCTATAAAATTATGATATACAACTCTTTGTAAGAACTAAGGTTTGTAAACTTTAAATCCCACAAGCATGTTTTTCTAGTTAGATTCATTTCCTTTTCTTATATCACAAAGTAAACAGGGACATAGAAGTTCTATAGCAAGCATCACATATACTTCTTAAAACACTCAATACAATATGAGCAATGTAGGGTGTTTAAAATACAATTTCCCTACTAAGTGTATTCCTTATTTAGTGTAGTGTAAGTAATATATTTAGACATATGTTAGCTTGAAAACAATTTAACAGTGAACAGAAGCATTCTTTATTGCAAGGGATAAGATGTAAGTAGACCTGCCTAAATGTTCAGTTTTAGACATGTATTATTGTTGAAACATGAACAACACAGCAACTATATATGTTGGACAAGAAGCAGATGGCTAGCACAGAAGGCAAAAGGTAGAGATCAATTCACAATACAAATTGTCTAGGGGCAGAAGCCCTCATTGGCAAAATAGTAAAATAAACCACAGATTAAGTTCCAGTTCTAGCTGAGCAGCAATACTGAAATCTGGGAAGCAATCCTCTTTAGACAACTTACTGGAAAATTAATAATTTGTTGTTAGCAAAACATAAATATATATTATAGCACTCTAAAGACTACTAATTTTATTTCAAGGACTGACAATGTTATTTCACTGTGAGCTTTCATGGATCAAAGTCCACTTCCTCAGACAGTGGGGTATATATGAAAGTGGATTTTGATTCACAATAGCACACATTGAAATAACATCATTTTTCAAAGTACTAAAATATTTTGTTTTTTTCCTTCTCTTTTGCCAACATGCTGGGACAGAGCAATATGGCTACTTCTTTGGAGATGGACAGCTTGTTGGCTGAAGTCTGGTAGTAAGTCACAAGTAGGCCCACTGTTGTGACTTACTGGATTGCAGCTATTGTTCATAAATATGGAACACGTTGCTCATTTCAGTGCACAGAATTCTTGGCAACAAATGAGTAAAGGAAAATTCTGGAATATAACTAAAAAAGTGATTCTGAAAGAGAAGGTGGTACATAAAGTTGTCTTACCATTTTATCCTCCCAACAGTCCTGTGAATACTTGGCTATGAAGTAGCAAAATGACCACAGTAACACCTTGAGTTTCATGGCTGAGTGGAATGTTTTAACCCAACTTTCTCTATTCCTCCTAGTCCAAAAAAATAATAATACTACTACTAATAATAAATCCATTTTAGTGCACAACACTAGAATCAAATAGCAAGTCAGAAATTTTGTCTATGAGATAATAGATATAAGGTCCACAGTGCAAGAAGAGAAAGTCTAGATGAGCAATATTTAGCTTGGTGAGAAGACCGAACACCTTGGGCATTGGGGATTTGGCTAGGTGGCCAAATTGGAGTAGGCTGGACCAGGCTAAATATGGTCACTTAAGGTCAGTTAAGGTTGAATAGAGGGGTGTGGTGTATTGCCTTCACATGCAAAACGAATGTAGTTTCATGTTAGGAAATCACACTATACAGTGGTGCCTCGCTAGACAGTTACCCCGCATGACAGATTTTTCGCTAGACATTGACTTTTTGCGATCGCTATAGCGATTCACAAAACAGTGATTCCTATGGGGGAATTTCGCTGGACAATGTTTGGTCCCTGCTTCACAAACCAATTTTCACTAGACAACGATTTTGACAGCTCCCTCCTAGCTCGCAAAATGGGTGTTTTTGGGACCTAAGCTTCGCAAGACAGCTATGTAAACAGCTGACCGGAGGTTCACAAAGCGGCTTTCCTATGGTCGATCTTTGCTAGACAATGACAATTCTTCCCCATTGGAACGCATTAGACAGGTTTCAATGCATTCCAATGGGGGAATGTTTTTCGCTAGACGATGATTTCGCTAAACAGTGATTTCAGTGGAATGGATTATCATCGTCTAGCGAGGCACCACTGTACATCAAGCAACCCTGTTTAGCATGATTGAAATCTTTCCCTTCAAAAGGAAAGATTGTTCTTCTGCAAAGGGAAAGATTTCTCAAGATCATAAAGCAACTGGTTGGCTTTCCCTTTGGAGAAACCAATTAATAATATCCAGAAATGGAAAAATGAAGTTTTGAATTGTTTTAAATGTTGCAATACATCAACAATGCTTCGAAAGGATTTTACAGCTAATGCACTACATCAGCAACCATTAAAAAGGATACCTTCCCCTCCTAAGGCGAGCTAAAAGGAAAATTTAAAGGGAAAGTTTAAACAGGACTGCCTGTAAGCTGCTTAATGGCCTTGAGAAATCTTACCTTTTAAAGGGAAACAATGTTTCCTTTTAAAGGGAAAGAAAGTTGAATCGATCCAAAAGTGAGTGGTCCCCAGGTGCATCAAATAACAGGACAAATACCTGTGTAGTTTCCCTCTGAATTTAAGCCAAGCTGCTGGGACTCCTTGGGATGCAGTAAAGATTGACACTAGTGAGGGGGACCCTGGAAGGTTGGTGAAAAGAGCTCCCAGCATTTTCCCTATGTTACTGCTATTCTCCTCAAGAGGAAACAAGAATGATCCTGTCAGGTGAGTAACAGCTATTGTGAGAAAATCCCATCTCTCTTTGAGTCTGTATTGAAAAAAAGGCAGCTATGGCTGAACAGTAGCACTAAGCAAAACAGGCTAATGTTGGTCCCTCCATGGCATTTTTTTTTACCACTTCTCTTTATCACAAGTGACCTTGAGCAAAGTTTACACATAGTGACACCTTAATTTGGCAAGGTTGCTTTTAATAGGAAAATCAGAGATAATCTGCTCCTATCCTAAATGAAATAAATAGTCTAGCATTTGGTTTATTTCAAAATACTAAGGAATTAACTAATTCTTCCTTGTCAACATTAATCCTTTGCCAACCAGTTTTCTTATTTTTATTTTCTTTTTATTACGTGTTAAACATATTGCAGTGAAGGAAAAACACAAGTGGTGCCACAAAAGGGCAGATGGGTGTTGATGAAAGCAGGATTTTTTTTTCCTGGAAAATCCAACCAGCCTTAAAGTGTTGGCGTGGGACAAGGACTCCAAATAAGTCATGCTTCAGGCATGACTTATTTACCTGGCACTGAAAGAACTACAGAAAAAACAAAGTATGTTCTCTCTCTCTTTCTCAAAGTGAAAATGTGTCCACATATATAGAATATCCAGTACTGATATACATGAAATAATGTTGCACAATGACACAAATCCAAAGTGGGGGAGCAATACGGGGGGCTAAACTATTGTTTTCAAAGAGCAGTGCCCTGCGGCCACTTAGCAATTTGCTTTTGAATCTGGGATAAGTTTTCAAAATCAGCTTGTGATATAGCATGGAGATCATATGCTCAAGAAAGAATCCAGCAGTCTTGTGGGATGATGAAACTCTATAAGCATGAGACTAGGTAGTCTCAGTTAAATGATCCCAATGAATGTTCATGCATTTAGAAAGATTTAATGCTTTAAAAGGTGGCGAATTTCATTCAAATGTTGAATAAGTAGATACTTGCAATTTAAGCCATATGTTTATTACAGCTGGAAGCCCTAAGAGTAAATCTGACTATTAGAATTGTTTTTAGCAAGTACTATCAGTGCTTAAACTCATTAGAGACTCTTTCTTTCAAATATAAAGATGAATTCATTGATCGTTCTTTTCTGGAACTTTCAGGGCAATTTTTCAATAGTGCATCCTATGAGAATGGTGCAGTTTTCTCCTCTAGAAGACAACAGAAATAAAAAGACAGATAGTAATGACCTTTCAAATATTTTGAACTCTCATTCCATTGGTACAAAACACACTGACACCCAAACAGATCATCAGTGGCAAAGGAACTTTAAGCCGTCTGAAGATCTGATTCCCTTTAGTAGGCCTGTGACACATGATCTCTGTCCCTCCTGCCTGGACAACTTCCCCATTCCCTTTGAATGTCTGAAAGCCCAAGGAAATGAAGTCCAGCCATCAAGCAAACTGGACACGGATATAGAAAATAAGGTGTCCAGTGATCATGTCCTGACAACCTCTAAGAATTTAAGTCTCATAAACAAAGACTGTGCTTTGGATCATCCCAGTAATTATATTAGCTCAAGTGAAATAGAGCACACAACACCAGAAGAATGTCAATGCTCTCATGGAAGACATCCAGAGAGTTTCAAAGTACTAAATAAAGGGAGAGAAAACTTACCTATCTGGAATGGCCCGAATCTATGCCCAAACAAAGCAACGTCACCAGAAATTAAAACAAACGATAAAGTAAATGTAAAGAATGCTGTGGATATTGAACTTGAAAATGCTGGTGTGAATGTGAGCTTGCAAAACAAAGCTATAGAAGAATATGCAACCCTGATGATTACTGCAGTAGACTTTAAAAAACATGGAAGTCGTATTTGTACAATGGCTGATATTGGAATTACAGAAAACATTATCCTGTCTGAAGCTACTGAAAGCGATATAATTGAAGCAGTTCCCACTGCTCAGGTTATGATATCTGGGTATGAGCTACCTCTGATTCCCCAAACTACCAGACACTCTACACAGAAAAAGAGCATGCCACCAAATGTGAGCCAGAGCTTTAGCAAATTTGCTCACAAAGGGAACAACCAATATAATATTAAAAGCAAGAGAACCAACTCTGGTTTAAAAGCTAAAGTATGTACCAAGATGTCTCAGGACTTTATGATTCAGCATCAAAATAATAAGTTAAAGAGTCCCAACTCCCACTGTCTAGATCTGTCCCATGAAGCTGGGATTTCCACAAAGTTTCAGCATGGACATGTTCAGTGGGAAATATACCACATCAACCAAAGGAGACTGAAATCCCCAAAGCCAGTGCTTTCCTCTGTTTCCAAACACTATTCCAACTCAGGAGAACCCATCACTCCTTTCACTGTCAGACAAGGGCGTTCTTCCGTGTGCTCAATGGATCTGAAATACAGTGACATGTTCAAAGAAATAAATTCAACCGAGCAAGGTCCTGGGATTTATGAAATGTTTGGGACTCCAGTATATTCCCGTGAGCAGGAAGGACATGAAAATGAGTATTGTAGGAATGTGCATTCTGCACCTGTTGGGAATGCTACGCAACGTATATCTAACCATTTCAAGGGGAAGAGACACAGTGGATTAAGACGTGCCCAAAAGAAAACACATCCTATGACACTCAAGAATTCCCCTGGTGTTAAACAAAAAAAGAAGGAGTCAGGGGCAAAGGAGAAACCTGCCTTGGAGGGCACTTGTACAGAGAACGGTGAAGAGAAGGATGGACCTGTGACTCTTTCTTCTGCAGAAAGGCAAATGAAGTCAGAAGGGAGCACGGCGCCATTACGCGAAGTTGTGGACAAGCAAGCACTGGTTTCCAGTGAATTTACGCAACCTACTAAACAAAATGAATTTGTTCCGAATTCAAATTTGTCACCTATTGAAGAAGTCTCACAGGAACATGCTTCAGATGCTGATGATGCTTTTATTAATAAAGCAGTTGCCGCCAATGTTCAGGAAATACTTTGGCCAGAGGTTAAAGTTCATGCAGAATATGCTCCTTTTACTACAAAGAGTACTAATGAACATACAAATTTAGGCCTACTGGAACTGAAAGCAAACAAATTGTGGTGCTATAAGAATCAGGAAGAAAATCCTTCTGCATTGTCTTTTCCAGAAGGAATGAGCTCACCTTCTCCACAAAATCTTCAGCACAGAAATGTCAGCTCAAAGTGGCATCTGGCAGACTCGGTGTCTCAGACATATCAAGATGTCCTGAGCAATGAGGGCAGTGAAGAAATAACAGAAGACTTGTTTTGCTACTCAGTAGCCAAATTGCTCTCATTTGAGCATGCAGATGGCAATGTTTCTAGAACAGTTACAAAAAATGCAGCTATGGAAACATCAAATGGAAAACATGAGAGTACAGATGATCTTGCATCCAATGTTACAAAGAGTAAGGTAAGTACCGTACATACCTGTCCACTATTTAATAGCAATACAACAGAGGAAGCCATTGTAATATTCAGAGTGTGTTGCACATGTACTTGAATCCAATCTCCATTCTCATCTGTCTCTGGGACAGCAATAGGTAGCTCCTTCTCTAGATTTGTTTACCTTTTTAACGGGCATTAAGAACCTATAGGCCTAAATACAATGGGCTTTCAACAAAAGTAGATCCATTAATTTACGTAAGGATTAACTGAATGCTGGATCATGCAATACTTCTTTAAATTGATCTATTCTAGGTGGAAGTAACAACGGAATTAAGTCCGTAAATACTGGATCAGGCCAAAATCTCTCTTAAGCATGGCATGTATTCAGAACCACTGACAAAACAAGGCACTAAAATGACTAATATTCAGGGGTACAACTCCTCTATGGACATTCCATTTAATTTTTTATCCCCTTCCTCCCTCTTTTTAAGACTGTTAATCATCACCACTCCTAATATCTGTGAACTTCACAAAGATGATTAAAACTAAATAGCACTAATATTCAATCTCAAGGCTGTTGTATGAAGCAAGGGTTTTGGATTTATTTCAAATTATCTAAAATTATAATTGTAAGGCAAGTCACAAAGGCTGTGTTTTAGCTTTGACCAATCCCCCCCCCCCGTATGTTCTTCTTGTTCTTCTACTACCTTTTACAGAATTTCTCTCTAAACGGCCTGGAGTCTGGTGGGGGAAACAGATGTTTAGATGTGGGTGCATTTTTAGAAAACAGCTTAACTAATGAAGATCCTATCCTATGGACCAAGGGTGAAATTCTTGGAAAAGGAGCCTATGGCACGGTAAGGTACACTGGTTTTTTTACTGCCTCTTTCTCTATCTCCTACGTTTATGTTTTGTTTTTTTAAAAATAAGTCTATCTTTCCATTTAAAGATATAGACTATAATAATATGGCATACAATAGTAAAGCCCAGAATTAAAATCAACACTTTTAAATATTACAAACTCTCATTTAAAATATGTTAAATAGCTCAAACGACTCACAAAATCCCTACTATATTCTTGCAATAATTTCAGTACAAAACAAAAGGAAGCAAGATCAGGAATAACTTCATTCCAAACTCTGGAGAGAAACAAGACTTTGCCTTGTAAAGCCTTTTATTGCTTGCATTGTTGCTGTTAATGTAGTGAGATCTTGGCTATCAAGTTTATAACAGAGTTTTTCTTCTCCAGTCGGACAGCTGATTTCTAAAGGAAGAGTATCTAGACATATACAGTATTCCTTGCTGTCATCTCAATATTAGATTGAGATGTCATCTCTGTATGAGCTCTTTCAAATAGAAGGATTTAAAGATACTTTAAAGCACACTCCTCTATCCTCTCTTAACTAACCTGTCATTCAGGTACATTTATTACCTCCTTAAAATAAAAACCAATGCACAAGAAACAGAAGAAAAAAAAGAACAGAGTGGGAAGGAGAGGAGAAAAAATGTTGTTCATCGCCCATGTCAGTTGAAATCTAGGTCTAAATAATCAGCAATACATTTATGAATTTGGCCTTGTTACTATATTTGCTCCAAGGCACCTGCTCTTGAGTTGCCTGTCCTTCAGACTAGACCTTAAGAGGAATGTACATTTCCTCTCGCTATTCTTTCTGGCCATGGCATTTCCTATATTATATGCTGTTGTAATCAGTTAGGCCATAGACAACAAAGTAGTAAAATTAATGCTGAAAATCCATAAGCTAAAAACTGTTGCAAAAAGTATTTTTTTTAAAAAAATCTCTTTTTTAAAGTTCTACTTCCACATTACACATCTAAATTTTTAGGTATATTGTGGACTTACAAGCCAAGGACACCTGATAGCTGTGAAACAAGTAGCACTGAATACTTCTGACCAAGCTGGGAATGAAAAGGAATACCAGAAATTGCAAGAAGAAGTTGAGATCTTGAAAAATCTATCCCACATCAACATTGTAGGATACCTGGGGACAGGTCTAGAAGAGAATTTAGTGAGCATCTTCATGGAGTTCGTTCCTGGTGGTTCTATTTCAAGTATTATTCATCGTTTTGGGCCATTGCCTGAAACAGTCTTCTGTAAATATACGAAACAGATAGCACAAGGGGTTGCATACTTGCATGAAAACAGTGTAATCCACCGAGATATTAAAGGCAACAATGTTATGCTTATGCCCAATGGTATTATCAAACTCATAGATTTTGGATGTGCAAAGCGCTTGGCCTGTGTCAGCCTGACTAATACGCATAGCGAACCACTCAAGTCTGTGCATGGGACTCCTTACTGGATGGCACCAGAAGTGATAAATGAATCTGGCTATGGGAGGAAATCAGACGTCTGGAGCATTGGCTGCACTGTATTTGAGATGGCCACTGGAAAACCACCCTTGGCTTCCATGGGTAGGATAGCTGCCATGTTTTATATTGGTGCTCACAGAGGACTTATGCCTTCGCTACCCAAACATTGCTCCAAGAAAGCAACAGAGTTTGTTCATCTATGTTTAACAAGGTAAGTGGGTTTGAAGAGGGAGAGGCACACGATTTTGCACTATTTTTTCACTTTAAAAATATGTTTAATCCTGTCAGTCCTATGAAAGTGGAGAAGTGTTGCAGTGCTTGATAAGACTTCATCAGCATACATCCTTTGCATGCAGAATACTTCAGCTTGCCTAACTCTAGGCATCCTGATAGAACTGAGACACAGTCTTCTCTGTCTTCAGGAAAAACCAAATATCCACTCCCATACCCACAGGTCAGCTTGTCCCCCACAAAAGAAGGGCAATGTCGCCAACTTTCAGTTGTCCATATTCTGTAGTTGTTTGAGGGGGAACCTTATAATATGAAGCTGCAGAGAGCTGCGTTCCTCCCTGCCTTGAGTTGACATGAAAAACCTTGCCACTTCTTCAAGCCATGTCGGAGCTGTATTCCAAGCAGCCAACGTGCCCTCCCAATTTGTGACAAAATAACTCATCGGGCATGAGATTGTTGCAAGGGGGCCCATCCTGCAACAAAAGGGACCATCACGTAGCCGCTCTGAGTGCAGCTTTGTGGCCACTTGAAGTGGACAGGAAAGCTTACAGCCTGGTCACAAATGAGAATATTCTTTCCACTGTTTTCTTGTATGGAGATAAATGGCTATCAGAAAGACATGGCAGAGAAAAGCTTCCAGTCCCCAGGAGCTGATTTAAAAGGATTCATGAGAACCCTCTTGTGTAAGAGGAATATTTTTCATCCTTCTCTGGTTCCAAAGCACCATGTTTGTTTCACAAGGGAATGTTGTCTATTCCAGTCTAGGCCTTTGTCTTGTAGCTAGTCACAGTTTATACCAAAGGTCTCTATCTATATACAGCCACAGTGACTTCAGAAAAGGGAGGCATGCATGGAACTCTTTCTGTTGTAACACTAAACAAGTCATTCCACATCCAGGGGTTTGGAATGGTGCATATATTAGAACCTACATCAGATATCTTGCTTAAAGCAACAGAGTACAACCTTGGTGATTGCTTTGGGCACCCATATTTTTTTTAATCATGCTTCTACAATTGAAAAGCAGATGTTCTGCATTTCATAACATTTTAACAGATTTGTTCAACAATGTAAGGAAGAAGAAATTCAGAAGCTAAAGGGGGAGAGCTAGTATAGCAAAGCCATGGAAAGTGACTGCATGACTTGAGAATCAAGCCATTGTTGAAAAGGATACAGAAGAAAAGAAAGGAACTGAAATTTTGACTACAGAGATGGACCAAACTAGACAGGCACTACTTAGAAATTATTTTCATGAATCAATGATATACTCCCTGGAACATTTTATTTATTGTAATAATCTGAGTTCAACCATACTTTTAAACTTGGACTGATGGCAGGATATATCTGAACTATCAGTTTACCTGTTGGCTTTAGGACATCTGAAGCAAATGGCTAAAATCCTGTTGTTTAACATAGTAAGTAATTATAGAGTATGCCCACTGAATCACTAGGTTTGGGTGAGTCAACTTCTCCGTATGATCCATGATTCAAATGCTAAACTAACTTGCAGCTAGAATAGGTTAATTTGAATCAATGAAACATATGGAGAAAACTAACTTGCAGCTAGAATAGGTTAATTTGTATCAATGAAACATGTGGAGAAATAGAGTCACCAAATCCCCATTGATTCAGTGGCCCTAATCTAATGTTACTTATTATGCCAATCAATAGGATTTCAGCCAGTGAGTAGCAAATACTGGTACAGTCTCTGCTTGCATATTTGGAAAATAAAAGCCCTAAAGTTTTAGGCTGTTTTTATTTAGAACAAGACTAAACCAAACCCATTAGTACTGTAGTTGTCTTGTAATTATATCTGAGTTGAGAATTTGAAGTAACTTTTGATGGTGGCAGTTTACATGCATCCAGTCATGCTCTTCCACAGATGGAAAGGCCTTTTCTTTCAGGGAAGAAACACAGATATGGCATGTCATTTTTCACCAAAGACCAAATTCCTCTTGAGCTTTACCAAAGGAGGATTGGGGGCATCTCTAGAGCCACATAAGCCTTCATGCTAGCACTGAAAAGTGTATTCCCCTTTCCTCCACAGGACTGTCACATGAGTGGAATTTGAATTCTCTGAAAGAGTGAATTACATTCTTAATTTTGTCCAGTTAATCCTAAAGCAGAGGGAATACTCTGGCGGAATAATTTGGTTTCGTCAAACATAATGCAGGAGTAAATTTAGAGGAAGGCTACAATACACTGAAGTAGAGGATAAGGAATCACCCATGCTCCCTTTCTACTGATAGACAACTTCCTTTGGTGAAACAAAACCTCCTGGATTCCAATTACTACTTTTTGGATTGAAAAACACCCTATTGAAATATTGCAGGCGATTGAGTGTTTCAGACTGGAAGTTATCTGGCACACACATACCAGTATATCAACCAATGTTAGCCTGGTGCCCTCCAAATATGTTGAATTATAATCCCCATCATCCTCAATCAGCATGGCCATGGAGGGTGGTGGGTTAGGAAAGGCTACAATATAACATCCTGACATTAACTTTTGTTACTTTTTAATCTGCTCACTGCACAAACCTGTCAGTAGATTACAAATTAAGAATAAATTAATTTTACAATGATTTGTTTTGGCCACTACTAATTTGGATTCCAATTGAAGGGTCATGAATTGACCCTTTTCTATGTTCCCCAGCAGTAGTCCAATTAATTTTGTTATATTGACTTAGAAGGACACCAAGAACAGAGAAACAGTTCTGTTAATTCTGAAGAATGAAAGAAAATCCAAATGCTTGAATTGCATAGTGGTGATTTTAAACCTATTTTTAAAAGTTTTCCCCTTTATTATATTTCACAGGGACCAGTTTGAGCGGCCAAGTGCTTTACAGCTGCTGCAGCATCCCTTCTTGAAGAGAAGCTAATGAACATGACAAAGTCTCTTTTTAAAAAGGCTGTCATGTTATTTTCTAGAGGTGTTTTAATGTGTCTGAAAACCAGCACTTAAATTGCAGTTTTTAAAGAGCTAGCCTGAAACATGATTGTAAGAAAGATATGTAAAATACTCTTCCTTGTTTTTAAAGACAGGTGTTCAACTGTTTCAGTTTGTGAAAAGCCAACTTTGCAATTGCAGTATGCTACAGATACTGCATCTGGAAAAATAAATGTAATTGAATATGCAATTCTTCAATGAATCTCATTCAAACATTAAAACTGGACCTATCAGGGCTTTTGGTCTTCTCAACCCAACATCACCAGCCTTACATATAATAAATTACTGAACAGGATTACAGTATGATATTTGCCAATATTCAGTGGTTCCTTTAAGTCACTTGTTGATTCCAGAAATTGACAATGGAGGGAGCCAGACTAAATAGGGTTGCTTGAGCTCGTTATGCTATTTGAATGAGAGGATCACACCTAATGGCATATTATGCCTCCCCCAACTTCAGATGACCCTAGTTATCCTGAACCAGCCCACTCCAAAAGGGCCAGTATAACTGCAGCCTGAGGCATTACATGAAGACATGTGCTCAGCACTTGTTGGGCCTGGCCTAATGCTTGTCAACCAACAATGAAGATATTGGTGATAGTGCCCCCTTCATACTCTTGAATAGCATTTCATCTAGGATTTGAATACAAGCTGAGGTGTCTGCCTCTTAACAGATGTGAGTCTATCCTATTCTGAAAGCTGTTTCATTTGAACAGAACACATGTGTATAGTACTCATGAGCCACTTCTGATTTTTAGAATACAGTACAATGTTCTAGCATAAAAGTCTAGGATGGGACAATTAATCACCAATCAGATTTTGTTGCAGAATTCACTCAGAACTAAACCCACAAGGTCCATGTAAAACTGTCCAAATCTATTAGTCAAAATGCTGTTCGGTAAAGCAGATGATATCATTAGCCACAGCAACTGTTAAGAAATTTTAATAGTCTAGTTTCCCATAGAAGTCCTGATGCTTCCACAGAATTCCCTTCATTTGGGGGAGCTGTTGGGGGCTGAGGGAAGGGAGGAAGTCTTTCTTAAAATTGCAGACACTGCTAAAATCATCTTCCACGGGAGCCTTGGCATCTTTGAGTGGTGGGGGAATTGGACATTTTTTATTTCTGAAAAATCGCTGCAGATGATGACATCACCAGCCTTACACATAATAAATTACTGAACAGGATTACAGTACGTGCCAGTCCCAATCCCAGTCTCATCTAGAGGGCTGTATGTTTTCAGCAGTGGTGGCTTTGGAGTGCCAATTCCCAGTGATTTACCCAAATGAGAGAAATTTGAATGTACATTATGGAAAACAATTTTGGTTTCTCCTTCTCTCAGGTATGTGAATTTTCCTGCCCTGAGTTTGAATGAGATGGTGGGTTGGCTGAGGGGGGAGCAGTTCCTAGGCAGACCAGAAGGGCAGTTTTCAATCTGCTCCACCTGGGAGGTAGATAAGGTGATGCAGTCAGCATCTGAGGTTATACAGAGCTTCTGTCCCCTGCCCTCCCTCCATTTAAAAAGGGTTGTGTAAGGCAATAAAGATACTGATTTATTAGAATTTTTTCTGCTTGTCACAACTTTTGTTGGGAGTGCTTCTGAAGCAAAAGGACATATTCAGGTTGTAGATTGAGGATCCTGCAGATGCAGTAACCCCTCCCCCCTTGGATCTCCTTTATGAGGCTGGGTGAAGGGATCATGTACATGCCCAGCTCAGGGGCTCTTGCATGCTTTCCACTCCCTGGGGGATAGTAAGGGCCACTCAGCGGCTTACATTTATGTGGTTAACCCTATGTCTTTGTCTATGGTCAGCATCAGTAACCAGGCAGGGTGGCTGATGTCAGATTATCTTCTGTGCTAGTGCCAGGGGCTACTGGAAGCTGTAACCAATAAAGCTGTGACCATTTTTTTACACCAAAATATGTTGTGTGTGGTGCAGTTATTTGGGTACTCCAGCCTCAGGTCAACATTATGCTTGCTGATAAT